GACCTCGGCCGGGCCGCACCGCCGCGGAGGCGCCCTGCGCATGCGCGAGCGCGCGGCCCGATGACGTCACGCCTACTGGCGGGGGCGCGTGCGGGAGGGCGGGAACGTCGTGAGGGGAGGGGCGGGAGCCGTGAGGGGAGCGGGCGGCACCGGGACCCGCTCCGGTACCGGGACCCCCCTCCCGATACCGGGACCCCCCTCCTGATACCGGGACCTTCCCCGGCACCAGGACCCTCCCCTCAGGGCGCCCCGCGCCCCCCATTTTGTGGGGCGCCGCGGGGAGACGGCGGCCCCGCTGTGGGGGACCCGGGTCCGCCGAGCTCGGAACCGGCTCCGGGGCTCCTGCTGTTCGTGTTGGGCTCAGAGGTGCCCGCGCTGCCGTGGGGCTGGTGGCACCAGAGCCTGGGGCCCTTCAGCTCCCCGGGGTGAAGGAAATAAATAAAAACAAAGCGTTTGGAGCTGGGCACGAGGGTCTTTTCCAGCCGTAATGGTCGGATGATTCTTTATTTTTGTGAAAACGGGGGCTCCTGCAGCCAGGCGGCCAGCTGAGCGTGGCTGCCGCGTGTCCGTTGGCATCGGCTCCTGCCCATCCCAGCACCCGGCTCTGCTCTTGCTGGCCTTGGTGGCCACGAGGACAGTCCTGGGCCCCGTGTCGCCCTCCAGGATGCCCAAGGGTGGCCCCCGCTCCGGCCCGGGCTGAGCCTCCCAGACCCATGGGGACACTGGGTCCGTGTCCCCGTGGTGTCCCTAAGTGTCCCAGCTGGCCCCACATCCACCCCCTGGGTGACCCTCCTGGTCCATGTCCCCTGTGGTGTCCCCATGTCCCCCCACAAACATCCTGCTTCCCTGGGTATCCCGCCTGGTCCGTGTCCCCGTGTCGCCCCACAAGCATCCTGCATCCCTGCAGCATCTCTGGTTGACCCACCTGATCCATGTCCCCTGTGGTGTCCCCATGTCCCCCCCACAATCATCCTGCATCCCTGGGTGTCTCCCTCAGCCTGGGTCCCCCTCTCCAGGTGATCCACCTGGTCTGTGTCCCCGTGGTGTCCCTAAGTGTCCCAGCTGGCCCCACATCCACCCCTTGGGTGACCCACCTGGTCCATGTCCCCATGATGTCCCCGTGATGTCCCTCCCAACTATCCCACCCAGCCGACGTCCTCATGGTGTCCCCATGTCCCCCCACCAACCATCCCATCCCACCCGTGTCCTCAGTGTCCCAGGTGTCCTGCCCATCACTGTGATCCCACATTTCCTCAGGACACCAGGATCCTGTCTCCTCAGGTGTCCCCTGCTGCCCCCATCCCCAGGATGTCCCAACTGGCCGGCATTCCGTCCCAGGATGTCCCACCTGCCCCATGTCCCACATCCCCTCCAGGATTCCCGCTTGGCCCACATCCTGGTGTCCCACTTGGGAATCACACCCCCCATGTCCCCATGTCCCCTCCCAAGCATCTCACCCAGCCCTTGTGTTTGTCTGCAGCGCCCGTGGGCGTCCCCCTGGACATCCCACCCAGCCCACCTGTGTCCCTAAGGATGTGGCCCATGCCCTCATGTCCCCGCCCTGTGTCCCGCCCAGCCTGTATCCCTGTGTCCCCAAGCTCCCCCCACGTGTCCCACCCAGCCGGTGCCCCCGTGATGTCTCCAAGTGTCCCCACCAGGTCCATGCCCCACGTTCCCCCTGAACATCCCAAGCTCTCTCATGCCGGGCTGTCCCACTTGGCACTGTCCCCATGTCCCCTCGAGGTGTCCCCCATGTCCCCCCACGTGTCCCCTGTGTCTGTGTGTCCCCACACGCCGCCTGGACCTCCTCCCATCCCTGTATCCCCCTGATCCCGCAGTGTCCCTGGGCACCAAGACTGTCCCTGTGTCCCCATAGGCTCCCCACGAGCTGCAGGCACAGGAGGTGACACGGGAGTGCGTCGAGGGGGACCCCGGAGCAGGGGGGTCCCTCTTTATTGCTCATCCCAGTCGGAGCCGGCCGTGCGCGTGGACGTCGAAGTGGATGACGGGCCGAAAGCGCCGCAGGCGCCCGAAGAAGCGCCCGATGCGGCCGCGCTGCACCAGCACCGGCTGCGGGGGGGACGGCGGCGTCACCGCGGGGCCCCCGCGCGCAGCGGGGACCCCCGGTGCGGGCCCGGGCGTCCGGGCAGGCACTCACGTCGGAGGAGGCGTCCACGCAGCGCAGATCCAGCTCCGGGGAGCCCTGCGGCACCAGCACCGAGCCCGTGCACTCCTTGATGGCCTGCGGGACGGCGGCGCGTGAGCGGGCGCGGGGGACACAGGGGGACACAGGGGGACACAGGGGGACACAGGGGGACACAGGGGACACGGCGGCGCGGGCCCCGCTCACCCCGTTCTCCTTGAAGTCGCAGTCGTCGAGGCGGGCGCGGGTGCCCGGCTCGCACTCGGTCTCCATGAGCGTGAAGTTGAGTCCCCGCAGGCTGCTCAGCTCCACGTCCTGCGGGACGGAGCAGCCGGCGCGGAGCCAGCGGCGCAGGGACAGCCCGTCCCATCCCACCCTTCCTATTCCATCCCGCTCAGCCCATCCCTCCTGTCCTGGCCCACCTGCTCCCATTCCTCCTGTCCTATCCCCTCCGTCCTGTCCTATCCCATTCCTCTTGTCCTACCCCATTCCATCCTATCATGTCCCACCCCAATCCATCCCTCCTGTTCCATCCAGCTCCTTCTGTTCTGCTCTGTTCCATCCCATCCCTGCCTGTTCCTCCTCTCCTAGTCCAACCCATCCCATCCCTTCTGTTCCCTCCTGTCCTTTCCATCCAGTCCCTCCTGTCCTGCCCTGTCACATCATTTCCCTCATTCCCCCTCCCATCCCATCCGTTCCCATCCCTTCCCTCCTACCATGCTCTAGGTGTCCCTGCAGGAGCAGGGGTTTTGGACTAGATGATCTCTAGAGGTCCCTTCCAATCTTAAACCTTCTGTAGTTCTGTGATACCCTATCATGTCCCCTTCAGTTCATCCTATCCCTCTCCTCCTGTCCCATCCCTTCCCATCGCTCCTGTACCATTCCATCTCATCATATCCCATCCCATCCATCCTAATCTGTCCCATCTGTCCCATCCAGTCCCTCCTGTTCTACTCCATCCCATCACATCCCTGCCCATCCCTCCCCTGCTGCTCCATCCCATCCCATCCATTCTGTTCCACCCCATCCCATTCCTGCCTGCCTGTCCATCCCCTGCTGCCCCTTCCCTTTCCGATATATCCTGTCCCATGCCATCTCTGCCCATCCCTCCTCTGCTCCTTCTCTTCCCTGCCCCTTCCCTTCCATCCCATCCTACCCCATATGTCTATCCTGTCACACCCTGTCCTGTGCCATTCCTGACCGTCCCTCCTCTGCTGCTCCATCCCATCCCATCATGTCCATCCCATCCCAAATACCCATCCCTCCCCTGCTGCTCCATCCCATCCCAATATGTCCATCCCATCACGTCCATCCTGTCGCACCCTGTCCTATGCCATCCCTGCCCATCTCTCCTGTGCTACTCCGCCCCATCCCATCCCAATCCCTCCATCCCATTGCATCCAACCCATCCTATCCCAATCTCTCCATCCCATCATGTCCACCCCATCCCATCCCAACATGTCCATCCCATCCTATCCCAGTATCTCCATCCCATCACGTCCACTTCATCCCAACATGTCCATCCCATCACATCCATCCCATCCTATCCCAATATCTCCATCCCATCACATCCATCCCCTCCTATCTCAATATCTCCATTCCAACCCAACATCTCCATCACATCCTATCCCACCCCATCCTATCCCAATATCTCCATCCCATCATGTTCACTTCATCCCAACATGTCCATCCCATCACATCCATCCCATCCTATCCCAATATCTCCATTCCAACCCATCCCAACATCTCCATCACGTCCCATCCCACCCTATCCTATCCTATCCCAGTATCTCCATCCCATCCTATCCCAGTATCTCCATCCCATCCCATCCATCCCCTCCTATCCCAACATCTCCATCCCATCCCAACACCTCCACCCCACCCCATCCCCACGCCGTCACTCACGGGCGAGGGCTCGGGCTCGGCGCTCAGCAGCCGGAACGCGCTCCGCGTCTCGGGCCGCAGGTTGAAGGCGTCCACGGCCTGGGC